ACAGAGAGGAAGATCTTCCGTCCGATGATTCACTCCCCAAGTGAGCGCAACGGCCGGTACTATGCCAATCCGAAGCCAGGAGCCTCTTCTGGGTCTCCCACGCGGGTGCAGGGTCCCAAAGCTTTGGGCCGTCCTCGACTGCTTTCCCAGGCCACAGGCAGGGAGCTGGAAGGGAAGCGGGGCTGCCAGGATTAGAACTGGTGCCTATATGGGATCCCGGGCGTGCAAGGCAAGGACCTTAACCACTTGCGCCACCGCGCCGGGCCCAATCCTCCCTTTTTAAGTATCAGAATCCCATAGAGGTGCTGGTTCATGTCCCAGCTGCTCTACTTCCCATTCAGCTCCCTACTTGTGGCCTGGGAAAGCAGTCAAGAACAGCCCAAAGCCTTGGCATCCTACACCCTCATGGGAGACCCAAGCTCCTGTCTCTTGGCTTTAGATTGGCTTAGCTACAGCTGTTGTGGCCATTTGGGGAATGAGCCAATGGATGGGGGATCTCTCTCTCTATCTCTATCTGTAAATCTGCCTTTGGAATAAAAATTAAATAAGCCTTAAAAAAAAAAAAGCTGGCAGGGACAGTAGCCTATTGGCAAAAGTCCTCATTTGCACATGCTGGGATCCCATATAGGCGCCAGCTCCAATACAGGCAGCCCCACTTTCCATCCTAGCAGCCCCGCTTTCCATCCAGCTTGTGGCCTGGGAAAGCACTCAAGGACAGCCAAATGGCTTTGGGACCCTGCACCTGCACAGGAGAACTGAAAGTGACTCCTGGCTCCTGGCTTCAGATCGGCTCAGCTCTGACTGTTGTGGTTGTCTGGGGTGTGAATCAATGGACAGAAGATCTTGCTCTCTGTATATCTGATTTACAATAAAAATAAAACACAATTTTAACCAAAAAAAAAGGTACTTTATACACTCAGGAGGCTGGCATGATTAAGCCACTAGTTACAACACCTGCATCCCATATAGGTACTAGCTTGAGTCTCGGCTGCTCCATTTTCAACAACTCTGCTAAAGCACTGGGCAAAGCAGTGGAGAATGGCCCAAGTACTTCAGTCCTTGTGTCCATGTGGGAGACCCAGATGAAGCTTCTGACTCCTGACTTCAGATGGGCTCAGCTCTGGCTTGAGGAATGAACTGGCAAATAGAATCTCTCTTCTCTTTTTCTCTGTTATTCTGCCTTTAAAACAAATAAAATCTGTATTAAAAAAAATAATAATAAACTTGGGACTGGCATAATAGCATAGTACCTAAATCCTCACCTTGCAACCACCGGGATCCATTATCGGCACTTACTCATGGCCCAGCTGTCTCCCTTCCCTTCCAGCTCCCTGATTGTGGTCTGAGAAAGCAATAGAGGATGGCTAAAAGCCTTGGGACCCTGCACCCGTATGGGAGACCCGGAAGAAGCCCAAACTCCTGTCCCCTAGTTTTGGATTGGCTCAACTCCAGCAATTGTGGCCACTTTGCGGGGTGGACAGTGGATGAAAGATTTTTCTGTATCTCCTTCTCTCTTTATATCTGCCTTTCCAATAAAAGCTAAAAATAAATTTTCAAAAATCTTCAAAAATTCAAATAAATAAATAACTGAAAACTTTATACATTCACTCACTGGCTGCATAATAACGTTTTGTTCAATGACAGGGCACATACGACAGTCATTCCAGAGAAACTCTTATTGTCTAATGATGTAAGAATCTCATAATACTGTAACACAAGGCATTATTCACATTTCTATGTGGTGACAGTGTAACTGCACCTTCTGCACTGCCAATCGCAAAAAAAAGCAATTATGTATAGTTACCACACTCGATCATGATAATAAATGACTGCCCCTGCCTTATGTACAGACTATACTATTTATCGTTATGGCAGAATATATTGCTTTGGCCTACACAAACCTGTTCCTGTACAACAGCACGCCGAGTTACAGTGGCAACAGCCTCATGCATCCTCTGTTTGCCATGTCTGTTGGCACAGGGGACGTCCCGATGACACCAGGGCTGTGTATGTGCACGCCCTAAGGGCTGCTTGACAACACTGCTGAGATGTGAATGTTCTCTGAGAACATGAACTGATGCACCACTCCACTGTATAGAAAAGTCTGCAAGGACCCAGCATGTAGCCTAGTGGCTAAGCCATTGCCTTGCACACGCTGGGATCCCATATGGGCAGTGATTCATGTCCCAGCTGCTCCACTTCCCATCCAGCTCCCTGCTTGTGGCCTGGGAAAGCAGTAGAGCACAGCCAAAGCCTTGTGACCCTGCACCCACGTGGGAGACGTGGGGAATGCTCCTGGCTCCTGGCTCCAGCTCAGCTCAGCTCTGACCATTACGGCTACTTGGGAGTGAACCAGCAGATGGAAGATCTTTCTCTCTATCTCCTCTCTGTAGATCTGCCTTTCCAATAATAACAAAGACATTTTTTTAAGTCTGTAAGTATAGAAACCACATTGCTAGACATGGTTATCTGTGGGAAGGCTCTTCTAACAAAACACTTTATCCTGGGTAAGATATACAGCAGAAATAAATTATTCACAGTCCTATAAGCTGGCATGTTCAAGTTCAAGGCCCCAGCAAATGAGATGTCTGGAGAGAGGGCGTGTTCTTCAAAATGGGTGTCTCCTGGTTCTCTTGATGGAAAGGGCCAACAGGCTCGTTCCGCCCTATTGTACAGGTTGCTAATCCCATTATGAAGGCGGAACCCTCACAACCTCCCTCCCTCCCAAGCCTCCACAGACCTCTTAATATCATCACCTTGGGAGTAGGTTTTGACCTACAAATTGTGATGGGACACATTCATGCCACAGTTGGTGGGGTATCTCATCCTGGATGGATGGAAGTCCTGGAAGACGCAGGGATTTCCGGCTTTAGAAATTAAACTGTCAGGTCTGGCACGGTGGCCTACTGGCTAAAGTCCTCACCTTGCACGCGGCAGGATCCCATATGGGCACCGGCTCCAATCCCAGTTGCTCCACTTCCCATCCAGCTCCCTGCTTGTGGCCTGGGAAAGCAGCCAAGGACGGCCCAAAAACCTTGGGACCCTAGACCTGCGTGGGAGAGGCTCCTGGCTTTGGATTGGCTCAGCTCCAGCCATTGTGGCCACCTGGGGAGTGAATCATTGGACAGAAGATCTTCCTCTCTATCTCTCCTCCTCTCTATATATCTGCCTTTCCAATAAAAACAAATAAATATTTTTAAAAAAATGAAATTAAAGTGTCCATTCCAGCACATAGTCTCAAATTCAGCTTACAAGTTGTTTTCTTCTCCAATTGATGCCCTTCAGCCAGCCTTCTTTTCCTCCTAAGGGCCAATTTTGTAGGCACTTCCTGACCTCCCCTTGGCACAGAGAGGAAGCAAGCGGACACTAGAAGGTAGGGAAGAATTGTAACTGTGTACCCTTCAGGCATTCCCTGGGCTGGTGGTCAACCAGATCTGAAACAGGGGACAGTCTTCAGAGGCCACCCCTACCTGTGCCTCCCAAGAAGGGCCACCATGCTGTTGACAATCACCACTTTGTTCTTGGAGCCCTAGACAACGATCGCCATGGGGGCTTTCTCACGCTCTGGCAGAAGCCAGCTGCATCAACCCGTCTTTGGTCACTCCTGCGTGGTACACAGGAACTCAGCCTGGTTCCCTTGCTCCAGCAAAACTCGAGAAGGCAAGATGGTAACACAGCTGTGATCCCCTCCCCGCTGTCAGACAAGTCGATCTTCTCCCACTTGTGTCACCCAATTCCACTGATTGCGTTTCAGGCTCATTCTCCAGGCTGTGGCAAGGAGGTGGTAATTGCCTCAATCTGCTCAAAACACAATCCCATCAGTTCCTCCCATGCTGCTTCATAATCCATATGTCTCTGATCTAATGAGAATTGCACCAGAGTTGCTTTGCAACCATCACATTTGTGTCTATTATGCACAAACAGAGGTGGATTTAAAATTTGCCATCTTGGGCCTGGTGCGGTGGCCTACTGGCTGGAGTCCTTGCCTTGCATGTGTGGGGATACCATGAAAGTGCCAGTTCGTGTCCCAGCTGCTCCACTTCTCATCCAGCTCCCTGCTTGTGGCCTGGGAAAGCAGTCGAGGACGGCCCAAAGTCTTGGGACCTTGCACCCGCATGGGAGACCTGGAGGAAGATCCTGGTTCCTGGCTTCAGATTGGCTCAGCTCTGGCAGCCGCAGGCTCTTGGGGAGTGAATCAGCAGATGGAGGATCTTTCGCTCTTTGTCACTCCTTCTCGGTGTATATCTCCTTTCCAAAGAAAATGGATAGATCTTTGAAAAATTACCATTTTTGTGTCTTTATCATCTATGTGCAGTTCCATGGTCCAGTTTTGCAATTCTCATGTTAACACCCCTTTAGACATACAACACATAACTTTGTCTTGCATGGTTGTTTTCTATAAACTTAGTCACCTAACACCCATTTCGGAATTTGTGACTCCCCCACCCCCCATCCAAGTCTGTATCTTAAAAACTCCTAACAGGCAGCAACAACAGGTGTAACTTGTTAGGTTCTCCGACTTTGCAAATAATGAAGTACCCGAGTTACCTACACAAGCAGCAAGCAAGATACACTTCCCAGAGGCCAAACTTGACTCCAACTTTGTTCAGTTTGGTGGACTGGATTGTTTTAAAAAACGAAATGGAAATGCTTCTAGTTAACCCGGAGACCCGTGACCCACTATTGCCACAAACACGATGCTGCTTTCCTCGAATCCAGAAAAAACACCCTTGTATCTTCCCTCACGCCTGCCCTTGCACTTCCCTCTGTATAATAAGACTTTTCTGGCAAATTGAAGACCTCTGAAGGGCAGAAGCGCAAGGATCTTTTCTTTCCTCCAAAGCTCCCAGACAGGATCTCGAGCTGAGGGGAACGCCCTGGCCGCTCTTCGCACCTCCCACCCTTAGAGGGCGACCGAGCGGAGGGCGGCGCAGGGCGTGCCACCACGGCCGCTCCCGTCGCTCGCGTCCTCACGTAGACGTTGGGGGCGGAGCGGCCGTGTGCGCGGTGACTGGCGGCGGCCCTGGCGGCAGCTGGCGGCTTCCGAGTGCCGGTCGCGGGCTTGGAGGAGTTCCGAGGGGACGGCGAGCAGCGCGGGAGCGGGCCGGGGGCTTGTGACCGACCATGCCGACGGTGGAGGAGCTTTACCGCAACTACGGCATCCTGGCCGACGCCACGGAGCAAGTGGGCCAGGTGGGTGCCCCGGGCGGCCTGCGGGGCCTGGCGGCGGGGTGAGGCCCCGTCTCCCCGGGAGCGCGGGCTTTGGGGCTCGCCGAGCCCGGGCTGTGCGCGCTGCGGGCTGCTCTGCGGGTCTCTGCTTTCCGTGGAGTGGGGTGGGGAGCTCACAGTCCTTCCAAGGTCAGTCCGAGCGCGTTCCTCCAGAAGTCCCCCCTCCAAAAAAAAAAAGAAAAAAAAAGCCAAAACACTCCCCTTTCCCCCGCCCCGGCGGCTTTAGCAAAGTGCCCAAGAGACACGAGTTTTTAAGAAGCCGAACAGGGACAGTTCTCCTGCTCCCCTCCCTCCGGACTTAGGTTCCGCTGTGTTTCCAAGGGAGGGATGCTTGGAGCGCCTGCGGGGCTCCCCGGCTACCGACGCCAGGATCCCTGCTCTTGCTCGCATGGCCACTGAGCGTGTGGGGCTTGCTTGGCTTCAGTGATGAGTGCTGCAAAGGGGAAGACAAAAACAAAAGCCCCTGGGCCCGGCGGCGGAGAGAAGGGCAGAGTGCGTTGTGCGCGCCGGGAGTTGGCGCTCAGCGCAAGCCCAGCCGGCTTGCAGCGTCTGCCGGCTCTCGGCGTGGGTCCCCGTGGGTCTCCGGGTCGGGGGCCTCCCGGAGGTCGTTTGCATGGCCGGGGGACCCTGTGCGATGCCCCCATGCCCGCAGTTGCTGCGTCCGGTGACATGACTGAGCTCCCCGGACATCTCCCGACCCTGGGTGTGGCTCAAGTAGAACTTTCTGAGCTGTGATAAAAAAAAGAGAGAGAGAGAAGAAGAAGAAGAAGAAAAAGGGGAGTTCTTACTGCAACTTGGTCTAGATGTACTGATGTCAGGTAGCAAGTGGCTTTGCTGCCCTGCCGATTTCCATTCCGGTTCGGAAATCTCCGTTACCAAGCGGCGGATGCTAACACGGAGAAATGGGGGGAGTAGAGTCAGCCCACCCCCCATGGTTTTGGTTTCTGTTGTAATTCCCAGGGGGAGCTAGTAAACACATCCCAGGATGCTTGTATGAATCATTTGCCGTTGAGTTGGGAAAGATTGTAGCCAATTGTTCCAGGTACCTTCGACGTGGTTACTTATTACCAGTTGCGAGAGAGAGTGCTATCTGGAAGTTAGAGCATCAGCAGCCTCCCCCGGAGGCTCTGAGACACGCAGCTGCTGTTATTCTGGTCCTCCGTGATGTGTTTTCTGGAGGAAAGGTGGGCAGCGGGGGAGCTGCTGTTTGAAGGGGCTCAGGGAATCCTGGCGGTGGGCTCCCTTTTCCTGGGAGGTCATCCTGTAAGGGCTCTTCCCCCAAACGATAAAAAAAAAAAAAAATGGCCCTCTCAAGGCAAAAGTCTGTTCTCGTCTCAGGGAGAATGTTCAGGGGACAGAGGTTTGCTGAAAAACCAGAGGAACCTTTTCATCTAGACCAGCAGTTTTATTCAGTATAGTTTTAGGGACTTTGTCAGTTTTTGCTTTTAGATTTGTTTCTTTGAAAGAGTGACGCGGGCCCGGCGGCGTGGCCTAGCGGCTAAAGTCCTCGCCTTGAACGCACTGGGATCCCATATGGGCACCGGTTCTAATCCTGGCAGCTCCATTTCCCATCCAGCTCCCTGCTTGTGGCCTGGGAAAGCAGTCGAGGAGGGCCCCGGGGCTTTGGGACCCTGCACCTGTGTGGGGAGACCTGGAAGAGGTTCCTGGTTCCCGGCTTCGGCACAGTACCGGCCGTTGCGCTCACTTGGGGAGTGAATCATCGGACAGAGGATCTTCTCTGTCTTTCCTCCTCTCGGTATATCTGCCTTTCCAATAAAAATAAGTAAATCTTTAAAAGAAAAAGGAAAGAGTGACAGAAGAAAAGACAGAGAAATGTTTGCTTCTGTGGTTGACTGAGTGGCAGCGTCCACCAGGGCTAGACCAGGCTCATACCAGGAGCCAGGAGCTCCGCAGGTCTTCTCTTGTGGTTGCCAGGGTCCCAAGTGTTTGCTCTGTCACCTGCTGCCTTCCCAGGTGAATGTGCAGCAAGCTGGATCAGAAGTGGAGTAGCCAGGGGCCAGTGCTGTGGCATTGCCAGTGAAGCTGCCACCTGTAGTGTGGGATTATCTTAGAAGCACTGGTTCCTGTCCTGGCTGTTCCACTTTCGATCCAGCTCCCTGCTAATGGCCTGGGAAAAGCAGAGGGAGAAGGCCCAGGGGTTTGTGCTCCTGCCGTCCATGGAGGGACTCACAGGAAGCCTCTGGCTCCTGTCTCCGTAGGGCCCCTTGAGGTCATCTGTCAAGTAAACCCTGCTTGGAGGATCGGTTTCCTTATTCCCTCCTCTTCCCTCCCTCTCTCTTGCAACTGAATAAGTGCATCATTGTAAGAGTTGGAGAAATGGTGGGGCATCTGGGACTCTAACCAGGCACTTCCTGCCCAGACCCCACCGTGCGTCTGGCAAGGTCTGGCCACGAGAGTTGGGCGTGATTCCCTGGACATGGGGCGATGACTGCCCGTAGACAACTGCTTACAACAGAAACGTCTCTTCGTATTCAAGGACAGTGGTTTGCTTGGGCTCAACGCAGTGCATTCTGGGATAAGCCATCAAAGCTATGAACTCTGCTCAGTTCAGTAACATTCCTTTCCTTTTAGGGAAGGTGCCTGAAACTGCTTGTCAGTAAAGATGGCAGGTTCTAGGCTGTTACTTGTAATGTTAATTGATAATGTCAAGAACTCAACAAAGAGGATATCAGTTCACTTTTTTTTTTTTAAGACTTATAGAGGGAAGGAGAGACAGAAAGATCTTCCTTCTGCTGCTTCACTCCCCAAGTGACCACAACGGTCAGAGCTGAGCCAGTCTGAAGCCAGGAGTCACTTCCAGGTCTCCCACACAGGTGCAGGGTCCCAAGGCTTTGGGCCGTCTTCGACTGCTTTCCCAGGCCACAAGCAGGGAGCTGGATGGGAAGCGAAAGAGCCGGGACATGAACTGGTGCCCATATGGGATCCCGGGGCGTGCAAGGTGAGGATTTGGCCACTGAGGCATTGTGCCAAGCCCTCTTGTGCTGTCATTGACTGCACTGGTCGTTCATCATTTAGAGAGTAAAACGTCAGTGGAATCTCTCTCCCTGTCTTTCCTCTTCCTGCCATTCTTGCAAAACACCGCCCTTTTGTATGATGAAGCTGAACTGACAGATGTTAAATTAAGTGAAATATTAACAACCTTTGTACCAAATGCAAATTAGAATTATTGAGTCTGAGGTAGAAAACTGCAGTTTAGCGTGACCATTTTCATTTTCAGTTATACCTGAACGGTGTGTCTGTCTTCTAAATGATGTCCTGTTTCTGAGACGCCACACCTGGACCCACACACGGCCTTATGGAACAATTCACTGACCACTTTTCACTGTTGACTGTTTGACTATCTCTAACTTGGATACTTTGTTTTGAAATGTATGTGATAGATGTGGGTTGAACTGTACCTGATTTTCTCACTTAAAAGTCTCTCAGGGGCTTCTTTAGAGTTCTACTTTCTAAGGTACTAAAAGCACACCAGAGTACATAGATTTAGGGTACAGTAGAAGTATTCGCAGGGGGCAGGCATAGAGTCGTAAGAGTTAAAACACCCCCACGTCCCCATGTCCCCATAAGTGTCCAGGCTGAACGTCTGCCTGTAATTCTGACTCATTGCCCACTGGTGCAGCCCTGGAAGCAGCAGTGGCTCATGTGGTCAGATTCCTGGCACCCGTGTGGGAGAGCTGAATACAATTAGAATTGCTGGAGCCCTGTTTTGGCCTCAACTGTGGGCATTATAGGCATTTAGGGGAAATAACCAGTGGATGGGACCCTCTCAGAAAGAAAGAAGGGAAAGGGAAATTTTTAAACTATGTTGCAAGTTAAGTACTTCTTGTCAGGATCACAAAGTCATGCATCTAACAAAGGTAACAGTTGTAATTAGGGGGGAGGGAAATAATGAGTGCTGTGTGTTGCTTGGGGTGTTTGTTGTAGTAAAGGGTCCTAAGCTGTCACTCCCGGGGGTCACTGAACATAAACGCCTCTGTGGGATCCCCACTGAGAAGCCAGAAAAGTGACTGCTCAGAGATCCTGTACCACATCTCCGCTCCAAGGAAGGATAGCACTTGATTTTCAGTTGAAGGGTGATCTCTTAGTAAGAGCTGCTAAATTGCCTCTCGTTGGTAGCCGCTCTGGTTTCTAGCTTGCATGTGTGGCGATGTCTTTACCTGCCAGGGACTTGCTCTGCTTGGGGATCACTGCTGGCGGGAGGCTTTGTTTACAACTTAAATTTTATGTCCAGCCGTTCTAGTTCTGTTCTAGTTCCGTTCTAGTTCTGTTCTAGTTCTAGGTTTTTTTTCTCCCTATTTTATGATTTCATAACAAATTTGAAGGATTCTACTTGATGAAGCTTGGTGTTAGGCACACCAGAATCGTGTTCTGGTTGTGCATCTGCTGGTTGATGTGCTGTGTGGCTGGACAGCGAATGCATTGCCAGTGAGCCTTGGCTTTTCTCATCTGAAGAGCACCTGGTGAGGCATGTCTGCGAAACATCATCAGTTCCAGAAATTAATGATTCTTTTTTATTCGATCACCAGACTCCATTTCAGGCAGAAACTTTACGTTTAATATAAGAAGGTTTTGTATGCTTTTTTCAGATGGCTTACGCGTATCTGTAGAGCTTTAGATGAAAGGATATTAGATTTGTGGTATCTTACAAAAAGTTAAGCATGTCAGAAATCTTTGGTTTTGCAAAGCCGGTCTAGAAGTTCTTAGGCAAACCACAGGAATGTAAGGTGGTGCAAAAATCAGCTGTGATTTTTTTTGGACTCACTGTACTGAGACATGTTCAAGTATAATAAACCTCAAAGTGCAAACTCCTAAAGGACTGATTCTGGGTCTGCATCCATGAAGAAGTTAAACTTAGAGAAGTGTGGTATTTAGAAATCAGTATTCTGTTCAGAATATCAATAACTGGACGTTCTTTTATTTTTTTTTTCACTTAATATATTGTCCATGAAATCTTATGATTCTGTGATACATTAAATGCAAATTAGTGAGTCCCTCTTGATGGCATAACATACTTAGAACATTCCATGTTCAGGGTAAATATGGTGCGGTGGGCTGTAAAAGGTTTGTTCATGTATCCCAACAAAAGATGTGTGTATGCATACCTCCTACATTACTGCTGCTTGCCATGTGCGAAAGGGAAGCAAGTGTGCAAGGAGGATGGAAAGCTTGCTGCTTCCTTTTGAGTTTCTCAAGATGAACAGCTACCACAGGCTTTGAATGAGTTCTTGCAATGCGTGGTATCAGACTTTGGGCAGCCAGCATTGAAATATAGAGTTAAGCCACGGGCATCCCATTTGGGTACCCATTTAACCCATTTAACCCATTTAAGCCTTGGCTACACCATTTCTGATCCAGTTTCCTACTGATATGCCTGGGAAAGGAGTGGAAGATGGCCCATGTGGCCCACGTGGGAGACCTGGAAGAGCTGCTGGCTTCTGTGTGGCCAGCCCCTGGCTGTTGCAGGCATCTGGAAGACCTCCTCTCCTTCCTCTCTCTCTCTCCCTGTTTTTCTTTCTGTTTTTCCTTGTGTCACTCTGACTTAAGCAAATCTTTTTTTTAAAAAAAAGTTGTATCCCAATATTAGCTGTTTAAATAAAGTGTTATCATTTCAAAACACTGTGAAGCTGTATTTCCCAACTTTTTTTAAGATTTTTGGTTTTGGGGTTTTTTTTTTTTAGATTTTTGTTTGTTTGCTTTTAAGGTATAGTTACAGAGAGCGAGAGAACAGAGACCAAAAGGATGAGTCAGAGGGAGGAATCTTCATCAGCTGGTTCTAGGCCAGGATCTTCTAATGTGTCTTCCTCCTGGCAGACCTGGCCATCTTCTGCCACTTTTCTCAGGCTCATTGGCAGAAAGTTGGTCAGATGTGGAGCAGCTGGAACTCAGACGGGCGCCATGTAGGATGCTGGTATCATGGCGGCTTTACACGCTATGCCAATCCCGGGCTTCAAAAGTATTAACTTACCACCACCACCACCACCACCACCACCACCACCTTGGAATTAGTCGTCCTCCTCCTGCTCTTACAAGGAGGGGAGAATGAAGAAGAAACAGGGTGGGCAAACGCAAGTCTGGTTTAAGCAATGAAACTCCTCAAATAAGCACCGTTTCCTAGCCTGCCTAAAAATTGAAATCCGACCTGAGAATGTTACTCTTCTACTTAGTTTCCTAGCCTTTAAAATTGTGTGTCTTTTCTGCTTTACTCTTTTCTTTCAGCATAAAGATGCTTACCAAGTGATATTGGATGGTGTGAAAGGTGGTACCAAGGAGAAACGATTAGCAGCTCAGTTTATTCCAAAATTCTTCAAGCATTTTCCAGAATTGGCTGACTCTGCTATCAATGCGCAGTTAGACCTCTGTGAGGATGAAGACGTTTCCGTAAGTCACGGCTGAAGCCTCTGAGCCAGCTCTCAGTGTTTCTGCGAGCGTGAATGCCACTGGAGGAGCACTCAGACCTGCACTCAGTGAAGGAGCGCCTGGCTTGACACAGCACCCAGGCTTCAGTCTGCATCTGAGAAAAAGTGTTAGCTCTTTCATCACCTTTCAGTGGTGACAAAACACAGAAAATACAGAGTGCTTTGTTTTGCTTATCTGTTATCCATTGTTAAAAATGGGTTATGGTTCCTTTTCACAGATTCTATTCATTATGCATGTGAAGTTAGGTTGTTTGTTTTTAATCATTTCGGTGCTTGCTTAGTTATTTCTGTCACTAACTAGAGCCTGTGACAGCCTTTGGCATGACAGAAAAAATAATTGGTCCTTGTAATAATTGTATGAGTCAGAAGAAATACTCCTTCTTATGTAAACCTGTAAGCCTAGATCGGTATTTGGAATTAAGCACACAGAGTAATCTACACATACAATGTTAAATAGTACCAAAACTTCTAAAATAAGGTGTATATGACATTGCCACAGAGTAGTTGTTCCTGAGGAATACTCTTATTACATGTTGAGGGGTAGCACTTTTATATAATTGGTAGAAAAACTTTCTTTTTTTATTACTTCTCTAAAATATATCTACTCTAGTTAGATATTATACTTAATGTCCCTTCCCAGTACATTTTGTTTTATTAACCTGTGAAACTTGAGTGTTGAAATGTAGTTAAAGTTCTTTTTAAACTAATAGAATGCTAATATTTTATAATTTTCAGACTCATTGTTTGTAATTTTGATTTGTGTATTCCTAAAAGTCTGAGTGAGTTATTGTTAGTCTTTGATTAATTTTCTGTTTAAAATTGTGACCAGATTCGAAGACAGGCCATTAAAGAGCTGCCTCAGTTTGCCACTGGAGAGAACCTTCCCCGGGTGGCAGATATACTGACCCAACTTTTGCAGACAGGTAACCAATTTGGTTATTGCCTTTGTGTGTAAATAGACTCTGAAGCTCTGAGGGTGAGGGGTGGAGGGTAGTGGTAAAGACCCTGCCTCTCACAGAGTTGAAATTGCTTCCATTCAGAGTTGGCTAAGTTCTGGCCGTGTAATTCCTGATAGTGTTTTGTTTTCCATCTGTTGTGCTGGATTTTGATATCCCCAGAAAAATCATCGAGTCTGAATTGGTGCTAAGGCATAAAGGTGGTTTGTTCAGGTTAACCTAGGCCTCCCAGCCACTCCCCACCGCAGCCCAGCAGGGATGGGGGAGGAGGGCCCGCTGGAGCCGAGGCTGTTGCAGGATCAGCAGGGAGGGCAAAGAGAAGGAGAGAGCCCCCAGGTTGAACAGCACAGGGTTCTTGTACATTTCCGGCTATTAATTACACAGTCAGGATTTAGCAGGCTTCTGTTGGTGGGTTTGAAGCAAGCAACTTTCAAAAAGTACAAACTGATGAGCTATAGGTCAGGGAATCAAACACCAGGTACCTCCTTCCTGAGGAGTGCTCTGCCTGTAGACCTGCCAGGTGCCCTGCCGGGTGTCACATAGACTGTCAGGCCTGGACTTCACACAGCCCCCAGCCAAGCCATTAAGGCAGAATCACAAAAACAGAAAACATCAAGGTTCTTCACATCCTGCTTACAAAGATGTAATGACTCCAGTCTCTTGGGAATTTTGATGCATACTATTGATCCATCCCTGATATCTTGAATGTTCTGGATTGCAACACCTTGAAATTAAAAATTAGTTGGGGAGGCCAGATCTGACTCTTAGGAAGCCATTTCTTTGGTTTTTAAGAGAATTCTGTAGCTTCAAGATTACTGCCCCAATATAATCTGAAAACTGTTGATTCTTAAGTTTGAAAATACCAATATTTTCCATTTCTTTTATATTGTGTCACTTTTTCTCTACCCAGATGACTCTGCAGAATTTAACTTAGTGAATAATGCCCTGCTAAGCATATTTAAGATGGATGCCAAAGGTAAGCCCTGTTGTTACTCTGAATTATGTTTCATCCCTTAAAAACTAGAGGATTGGCGTTATTCACTAAGGAGAAGGCCTGCGCTTTGCTCAAGTGTTCTAAAAATCTCCCTCACTCAAGAGCTTAATGACTAGAAAAACCCAGAAGAAATAACTGCAAAAATAGATCAAATTTTCTAATAGAAATCTAATAAATCTAATAGTGTGGAAGACTCCTTTGCCACTTTACAGCAATTTTTCCAGAATGTCTTAAGTTTCTGTTAATGGTAGAAAAGTCATGCTCAGGCTAACCCTAACCAGCATTGGTGGCGTGCAGTGTGTTTGTTATTTTGAGAAGAAATGCTATAAGTGAAGTTGAATAGCAAGCCGTGAGAACACTGCCTGAGTGACTTGCTTCAGGTAACTGTTTGTTTTGCAGGGACGTTAGGTGGTTTATTCAGCCAAATACTTCAAGGTGAAGACATTGTTAGAGAACGAGCAATTAAGTTCCTTTCAACGAAACTTAAGACTTTACCGGATGAAGTCCTGACAAAGGAGGTAGAGGAGCTTGTACTAACTGAATCCAAAAAGGTAAGTTTCAGTCATTATTTAGCAGAAGTTCTCTAAAGCACAATGAGATATTTGAATCGATTGTTTTGTATCAGTGCTCTGTGTGGCTGGTAGTAAGAACCACCGTAGAGCTTCTTGAACTTCTTTTAATATTGTCCTGAGCAATTTAGCCATCCATAATGAGCATAGGTCAGTTTAAAATAATGTAATCATGGGCCTGGCGCTAAGGCCTAGTAGCTAAAGTCCTCACCTTGCACACCTTGGATTTCATATGGATGTCAGTTCTTATCCCTCCTGCCGCGCTTCCCATCCAGCCCTCTGCTTGTGGTCTGGGAAAATGGTAGAGGATAGCCCAAAACCTTGGAATCCTGCATCCATTTGGGAGAACTGGAAGAAGCCCCTGGCTACTGAGTTCGGATCAGCTCAGCACCAACTTTTGCGGGTAACTGGAGAGTCAACCAGATCATGGAAGATCTTTCTCTCTGTCTCTCCTTCACTCTGTAAAATTTTCTTTCTGATTTTATTTATTTATTTATTAAAATCTTACATGGTTGATTAGGGTACAAAGGGTCAGGGGCTACAGGAAAGTGGGTAATACCGTTGTTTCTACATTAATATCATTTTGTCCCGCTGTATCTGGGGCCCAGGGAGGAACCCCACCCAGCCACCTACCCATCCCAGGTCCCCAATGTGGGGCATGCTCCGAGGATCCTGCTCAAGCAGTTTTGATAGTTTTACAGTTTTGAATTGCTGCCGATCTCACCGTTCCAAGCACAATGAAATCTGCTCTGAGATCAGTGGTTAAGTTGGAGGGATCACCAAAGAAATTTTGTCTGAGTTGATCCCAGACCTGATTCTTGTGTGTGCTTCCCAGTACAGGGTCCGGCACCATCCATCACCCCAGTCAGCTTATGCACGTTGGTCATTGCAATTGCTGGATCAGTTCTGTTTCCAGCCCCATCTTCCACGCAAACCAGTGGTTGTGACAGTCCAGCCCGTTCCTGCCCACTTCATACTCGACCCTCACGCAAACCAGTGGATGCTGCAGCCTAGTTGGGGCGACTCCCCATAACCCCCACCATGCCTGCCCCCTACCCTGATTCACATGCTTGCTAGTATGTACCGCAAACTTGTTCAGTCTGTCCCACATCCCATTTAGTTCTCATACATGTCAATGGGCATTGAAGCCTAGTTCACCCCAACCAGCCTTACTATCCAGCCCACACATACTGGTGGGTGCCTTTCTGTCTAGCCACCCCTGCTCCTGTCCTGGTTTTGGTGCTCCCCAGTGGGAGTGGTAACCCAAGAGGGAGGATTCCACTATTTCCCTACTATGCCACTCCCACTTCCAGATTATGCACTCTCCAGGTGCATAATCTCGAGTTTAATTTGACAGATTTAGCCCCCAGTGCCAGCCTCTGCCACCTGATGATGTGGCAAAGCCCAGCTTGCATGAGTTGGAACAGTCAACCCAGCCTGGCTTTTCCCTGTTCTAGGTCACATGAGGCCCACAAGAGTTGTAACCTGCCTGGTCTGGTCTGCCCCCGTCCCAACTCATGTCCTCCAGTGGGAGTAGTTGTCCAGTAGGTTGCCGGCTTTTCCCCTTCCCTCCCTGGTTCTCACGCGTGCTGTTTGGGCGCTGCGGACCAGTCTGGTAAGGCCCACCTCACCTTGGCATTCTGTAATGTGCACTGGTTTGTGTCGCAGCTGAACCTGGGTCCATAGGCCAGCCCTCCTTGCTGGCCTTCAGTCCATTCTGGTTCTTACTGTTGGATGTTTCAGCCCTGCCATGGCTTGTCCATACCCAGATACTGCTCACACATGGCTCAGAAGGGGCAGAGACCTAGCCTAATCCGTCCTACATCTACCCAGGTTCTCCAGAGCACCAGATGATGCTGGCATCTAGCCCGGTTAGGTGTACCCAGCCCAGTTTACACTTGTGCCAAGGAAAGTTGCAGCCATATCCAGACCAGAACGCAGCCCCCACTCTGGCCCCCACACTCTCCCATGGGAACCCCAACCCAGCAAGTGTGTACTCTCAAAGCTCCCCAACTGAGCCTATTCCCAGCCCTAGATTATGTGCGTTCTAGTAGTTGCTCTGACCCAGTTGGCATAGCCACTCACCTGATTTGGTAAACTGTTGCTGTGGCCTAGTATCCCTGGCTGACGCAGACCAGTCGGTATAAGAACCTAGTTCAGCATGACCTGTGCTCCATCCTTATTTCTGTTTTTCTTTGTGAGTTAAGGTTTGCTCAGCCCTGCCCAGTCTGCCCCCTTCCAGTTGCAGCTCGGCCCACCCCACATCCTGTTTTAGGAGGCACCTTCAAGTGCTGCTGCCTTGACCTGCCCATTCTGTTGTTGGTTCCTTTGCCTGTAAGTGATGGCAGGTGCCATGGTCACCACCACCAGCTTGCGAGCTAACTGGCATGACTTGTATTTTCTCAGGGTTGAGCTCACACTTCCCCCACAGAATCTACCCCCAGACCTGGTTTTCTCGCGTGCTGGTTAGTGTCTTGACCTAGCCAAGTGTGACTCATCCCCTCTTCCACCACCCAGTGAGGTGCGGGTACTTAGTCCTGCCAGACAGGCCATAGCTTTCGTGTGGGCTGGTGTGTGGCAGTCAGTGATAACTCTGCGCTAACAGCCATCTCAGGATTCCGATGTGAGCTGGTGAATCAGTCTGGTCCAAATAGATCTTATGGACTCTCCCTTCCAAACCTCCAGGCCTCAGTCCCCACACTTGCCAGAAAGTTATGTTACCCCCGTTGCTGGGAATTGCCCAGAATTCATTCCTCACCTACACTCACGCTGGCATTATCCCTGAATGTTGCTAGGCAGCAAGTACGTATCCTAAAAACCCCAGAGCTTGTTGCGGGGCAGCCAGTAGGCTGCCCAAAGCCTAGGACTTGGTCACCACTTGGCAGCAGTGACCATGGCCCGAGTCCCCAGCAGTGGGTCGGGCCTGGCTGGGGCACAGCCGCCAAACTGCAGGGGCTCCTTTTGTCCCAACGCCACAACCAAACACTGCCCAAACTTCCTGCTGCAAGATGGTAGCGGCAGGGCAGAGCCAGGGCCTTAAATCCAGTTCCCAAGTTTCCCTCCTGGTGTACTTACCCTGAGGGACGAAATCTCTCTGGCCTGGAGAAAGCCTAGAACGTGGTCACCGCCTTGTGACGGTGACTTTGACCTGAGTCCCCAGCATTGGGTCCAGCCTGGCTGGGGCACCGTCAGCTGCCACACTGCAGGGTGCTCCTTTTGCCCCAACTCCACGGCCGAACACTCCACTCTGTAGATCTTGATTTCCAATAAAAAGTAAAGCAAACAAAAATATATATTTAATGTAATCAGGTTTTAGTCCTTTGTGATCATTTCAGAATGTGTATCTTTCAGGATAATATAGATATTCAGGAAAGTTTCTGAAACTCCTACCCAGCTGTCCAACCTCAAGGTGTTTGCTTAACAGTATCCTGGATCATTTCAAAATAAGACATATTGTCCTCTTGAAATGACCTGGTTTTGGTTTTGGGTGGGTTTGTTTGTTTTTGTTTTGCTTTTTTTTTTTTTTCCTTACAATTTATTCGAAAGGTGGAGATAGGAGAGAAAGAGGTATTCCATTTGTGGGTTTACCCTCCAGGTGGCCTGAATGACTGGGATTTTACCAAGCTGAAGCCAAGAGCTTCTTCAGGTCCCTCACGTGGGCACAAAGGGCCCAAGCACTAGGGCTCTTCTCCACCTCTACTCCAGGCACATTAGCGAGGAGCTGGATCAGAGATGGAGCAGCCCGGAGTAGAACCAATACTAATATAGAATCCCAGCACTGCAGGTAACTGCTTCTCCTACTACTCCTCAACACCAGTCCCCTTAATTTTTTGAAGGACTCTGACCTTTTTAAGGATGTGAGACCGTGCTTGCTTGTCTGTGCTCCAACACATCTAGCATAGAGAGATCTCAGATGCTAGGATTATCAGGGGTCTCGAAAATCACTTACTTCAAAGCACAATAGCATACAAATAATATTTACTTAACGCATGCTCAAAATTATTCAGTGTTTTCTGTGTTAGTAGAGAAATGATCTTTTGTTTTGTATTGTTTTTTCCACCTAGAAAAGGGCAGTGGTTCTTTTTCTAGGAGGACCAGCATGTTCTACCTGTACGCACTGGTAGTGTGTTAGAGGATGTTTTGCTTCTATTGGCCAGTGACAGAGTGTTTAGCTGCACTGATGTTAAAGACTTCAAATAAGACTTGCATGGTCTCTTACTTGGGTGTAGTAACTCATAGTTATGAAGGAGACTGCACTTAGATATCAGAGGGTGGATCTGATTCCGTGGTCTACAGAATTTCTCAGCCTTTTTTTAAATCATCCATTTTAAGCATTTGTTATTCTTAGCAACTCTTTAGAATGGATAAACTGTGTAGGTGTGTGTGTATCTGTGTGCATGAGAAAGCAAAATTTTTTACATCCTTGGAGAATGTATGGTTTATTCTGAATCCTGCATAGATATGAAATAAGTGTGCTTCTTTATTCCACTGTTGGTTTTTCTTTGTTATTCAAGCAGTAGAGTTACTGTTGGTCTGAATTTTCTCCTAGGTCCTAGAAGATGTAACTGGTGAAGAATTTGTTCTCTTCATGAAGATACTGTCTGGGTTAAAGAGCCTGCAGACAGTGAGTGGCAGGCAGCAGCTTGTGGAGTTGGTTGCTGAGCAGGCTGACCTGGAGCAGACCTTCAACCCGTCGGACCCAGACTGCGTGGACAGACTCTTACAGTGCACGCGGCAGGCAGTGCCCCTCTTCTCGGTGAGCTCTTTGGTTTATGTAGTTGCCATTTCAGTGACTAGTGATAGATATTTCTAATAGATGCTCATTTGAACATTCTTCTCATCTTTCCATAAAAGTATTCTTAACACAAAATCAGCTTTATGGAGGTGGGAGTGGGGGTTAGGGGAGAACCCAGTGCAGCAAGAAATTTCAAGTTTTGCTTAGAAACATTTTTTAAGCTGTGAGGATCACAGCTTAAAAATCAGTGGTTTTGTGTTTGCCCTGGAATGTACATATCTTGAAAAGCACAGTTGAATGACTCTGCCCTGTGATATCACCTGCCCTGACTGTGCTAGAAGTGTGCACAGATGTGGCCATCCCAGGGCTCCGCCTGGCCTTGCCGCAAGGTGTGGGTTGTTGAGGTCATGTCTCAGGTGCCCTGGGATAAGCATTTCATCATGTTTGTAGTCATGATGTTTAGTGTTGAGGTGCTCAGCATTTTTGAGTAACATTCTGTAATACTCAAAAGTGTTTGTTTTTTGACAACTTGATGTTCTTTGTTTTAACAGAAAAATGTCCACTCTACAAGGTTCGTGACTTATTTCTGTGAGCAGGTTCTTCCTAACCTCAGTACCCTAACTACTCCAGTGGAAGGTCTTGATATACAGTTGGAGGTAAGAGCAAATTTCTATTTTTGCAACTAAGAAGGCATTCTCTCATTTTAACAAAAATACATGCTACTGGCTTAGATCTGATTTCTAAAGGCATAATTTAAATGTCTGCTAGTGACTAGCCTGTAATCTCCCAGGCCGGGATTAATTGCATGGGAATGATCCCTGCATTCATCTAGTTTGCTCTAGTACATTATAGTCGATTTTTACAATTTTAGCTTTGCTCTTTTTAAATAAGGTGTTTAATTCATGATAGTTTTCATCTGTAACCATTACTTTTAGAGCCAATTTAAATTAGATTAACACAAAATGTCTTTTATTCCTTTTTTTCCAGTGAAATTATCTGCTCTTTTGCTTTGTATCTCCATTATTCAAATGTTTTTTTCACAACATCTGTGATGATAAATGCACCTTAGCTTTATTTATAAATGCCAAGGCGCCTCAGAAAGCTCATGGAAAATGCAGTTTACACAGGAGTTCAGACGTTGACCTTTAACCTACTTTAAATACCTGTTCTATCCCATATCAGAGCACCTGTGAGTGCCCAGCTCCAGTTCCTGACTCTAGCCTGTCTTCTGCTGATGCAGATGCTGGTTCCTGCCCTTAAGAGGCCATCTCAGCTTAATTCCTGGCTATTGGCTTCAGCCTCAGCCTAGCCCAGCGCAAGTCACTGGGGACAGTTAGGGAGTGAATTAGTGATGGGAGCTCTCGCTTTGTATCTCTGCCTCTCAAAGAGGCGAAAATATTTTAAATCATTGAAGTTTTTTCATCTCATACTTTCTATGGGCTTTTTATAGCTTCCTCATTTGCATGCATTAAATTTTTTTTTTTTACACGAAGCCAAATATGTCTTAATTCTATGCCATGAGCTTCTTTAAGTACCCTTATGTCTCCCACATTGAATCAGATTCCTCTCTGGGTGTGCAGAATTCACAGCATGATTCCGAAGAATATTTAATAATGACTATTGGGTCAAAATATGGCAGTGGGTTGCCATTTGCCTTGCAGGACTCGGGCAGAGAACAGTCTCACTGTGCACTGATACAGTTTACCTCACATGTCCCCGGCAGGCCTGGGAACATCAGACAGAGAGTGCCCAAAGCAAGAACAAACTGCCCAAGTCTGTTACAGTCCAAATGAAGTGTCACCGCCGTTTTTGCTTTGTGATAAGCGCAGTCACTGCTGGTGGATAGCAGAAAGTGTCAACATCCTTTTCCTTCCACAGAGGTTACGAGTCAGGAGATCTGGGCTTTCGCCTGTGCCCTGCAACTGATGGAAATTGGGGTTTTGCAGAATCGCATAACCTCTAACCTTCACTTCACCCAGCAGTCAAATGTAGGACCGTACCTTGAAAGCTTTTTTTCTGATCATGTTATGATTTTATAAAAGTATCTTCAAAAATAAGGGAATTTAAATATTATCATGAGAATCATTCTCACTTCATAGCCCCTGCTAGTTACAAAAAAAAAAAACAACCTAGTAGCAGTGACAGACTTGTTTGTTGTAGGTGTTGAAATTGTTGGCGGAGATGAGTTCATTTTGTGGTGACATGGAGAAGCTGGAAACAAATTTAAGGAAACTCTTTGATAAATTATTGGTAAGAACTTTGTTTTTTTTCTCTCTTTATGGTAGTCAGTATAGAGCCCTAGAGTCTAAATTGGCATTGGTTTCTGAATTGTGGAGAACTGGCTTTTGAAATTCAGATTAAGCAATCTTAACATGTGGGCTGGTACAAATGTTTTTTAAAGTTGTGTTAGCATTTCTTCTGTTGTTGATGCTTTATACAAAAACACTGTTTAGATGGTAGATGTTTGTGTTACTCTGTTTTTTTGGTCTGTAAAATAAATTTTTGTGAATTGTTCTGGCTGTGTCAGATAGTCTGAAAACGAGTTTTGCATTGCAAAAGGTCATCTCTTCCTGACTGCGTAACTGCCTCAGGCCAGGTAGCTTTGGCAACCAGGAAGTTAAAATCTGTCATTGCAGTTGTAATTATGGGGAAAAAATAGGCCATCTGAAGAAAATCATCAGCTGTGTTACTGAGTAATGTATTCAGTGTGAGCAGTGTGTAACCAACACAGTGCCAGGCAGTAGGCCCTTGGCATGAATGGAGTCTTTTGGCCTCTGGTGCTCATCCAGACAGGAAAGCTAGTGGTTTGTTTCAGCACTGAAATTGAATTCATTGCTGACACTTTAAAGTGAAGAGTGTCAATGCTTAGAACAATATGAACTAGTAATGTTCAGCAGATTTTTGAAGTTAAGAAGGTGTAGTCAGTAAGAACATCAACTCTTGAAGTCAAACCTAGATTCAGTCCTCACTCTGAATTACTGAGTTTGCCACCCTAGAAAAATTCATCTAAACTCCTAGGACTTCAGTGATAGGTGTCATTGTTACTGTTGGCAAACAGAAAATAGCTTTATAGGAACAGTGGACATGCATACAGCATTGATCCAATATATATATATTTTTTACTTTCAGTTGTTAGGGTTTCATGTCTTGAAGCATGCCTTAAAATTCACTTGACTCTGTGTATACTAACTGTGGTGCTTAGAGCAGGTTGCAAACCTCCATATGCTCTCATCCCTAGGAGTACATGCCTCTGCCTCCCGAAGAAGCTGAAAATGGGGAGAATGCTGGAAATGAAGAACCTAAGTTGCAGTTTAGTTACGTGGAGTGCTTGTTGTACAGTTTCCACCAACTGGGCCGAAAACTTCCAGATTTCCTAACAGCTAAACTGAATGCAGAAAAACTCAAAGATTTCAAAATCAGGTAATGATGGACATGCTTCGATCCTTGGCAAAGGTCATAGGTGTCCTGAAGCTCCTGGGGTTTGATTTTGCTTCATAAGAGCATTCTCCCTGCCCTGCTATACACCAGCACAGTGGAAAGCAACATACGTGTAAACAAGGTAACAGATCGTGAGGGAAAGTGAATTTTTAGAAAATGATCTGGCAGATTCCCTCACCTTTCTGTGTGCCTAAACATGCCTCAACTGTTAAATTTAAATGTTGATGGTTGTTACTCAGAGAACTATGGGGAAGGGGCCCAGCACGATGGCTCAGTGGCTAAATCCTCACCCTGCATGTGCTAGAATCCCATGGGGATTCTGCTCCACTTCCTATCTAGCTCCCTGCCTGTGGCCTGAGAAAGCAGTATAGGATGGCCTAAAACCTTGGGACCCTACACCTGTGTGCAAGACCCAGCGGGGAAGCTCCTGGCTCCTGGCTCCTGGCTCCTGGCTCCTGGCTTCGGATTAGCTAGAGCCATTGTAGCCACCTGGGGAGTGAACCTGTGGTTGGAGGACATTTCTGTCTCTCCTCTAAATCTGACTTCAAACAAACAAACAAACAAAAACTGTGGGCAATAAATGAAACTACAGATAAAGCATTTAGCATAATACAAATAGATAATTTTGTCTGGCCTGTGAGGTGTGAAATGGCTGTGCAGAAAAAAGCCTTGCCACTCCTGCATAGGTACTATTGTAGAGAATGTCCTGTAATGTTAGAGTGGTACCACTGAAGAAATCAATATAAGTAGTTTTCCTAAAAACACTTGCGTTGGAGCATTCTATTAACAACTCGACTTCTGGATTTTGTTATGCTTGTGCCATGGGGCTGGTACAGAGACACAGGCAAATGAGGGCAGTGTCTTTGCCATATGTGAGAATCACACATGAACATCAAGTGCTCCACCTCATTTGGGGTGGGCGATTAAAATATCGTGGGTTTTTTGTTTGTTTTGGGGTTTGGGTTTTTCTTCTTCCTTACATCGTTGAGAGGAATGCACACGCATATGGCTCTCCATGTTGGGTAGGGAAGCTCGAGGTGTGGAGGAGGTGGGCAGTACAGATGCTTGAACTTTTTTTCTCTGTCCTGTACCCACAGCGTGGAAAGGGGAGGAAGGAGGCTGTCCTTTGACGCCAGAGACTGATGTGGGGCTGAGTGTTCCAAGGGTGCTACTTGAGTGGTTTTGATAGTTCTCAGGCGTTGTTGGCTTCTTTGTGCCAGAGTTGAGGAGATCTTTCCAAGGTGTGTTGATTTAAAATCCACCTTAGTGCATCCACACACACGGGAACACGCTGCAAAGTGTGCCGAGTATCCAACCTGTTGTGTTTTTCATCCTTTGAGCCAGTTAGCATCCCCTCCTGGCCTCAGTGAGCTGATTGGCATGTACCCCATGGGCATCTTGGCTGCCCCCAGGTGCTGTCTGTAACCTGCATAAGCCAGTGCACATACTGGTGGATGGAGCAGCCTGGTCACTTCCAGCTCTAGTCCTGGCTATCATGCTCATCAGTGAAAATAGCAGCCCAATAAGGGAAAGCTCTTAAGTTTCCCTTCCAAGACTGCTCCCAACCCCAAATCTTATTCATGCCCGTGGATGTCTTGATCCTGCTTGGCATGGTCTGCCCTCAATCCTGACCTTTACATGTGCTGGTATGTGCTGCAGCTTGTACCAGCCTGGTCCCCTCCAAGCCCTGATCTCCTGGGAGTGTCAGGTGAGTTCAGGGTTCCATCCTAGCTAGGCCTGTCAACATCCCAGTCTCTCTGCAAACCTGCAGATACTGCAGTGCCACTGAGGCAAGCCCAGAAGTCCCCTAAAGATTGTGCCCCCAGGTCTGGTTTTCTTGCATTCTGGTGGGTGCTGCAACCCAGCCTGACATGGCCCACCACCTGCTTGACACCTGTGGGCAGTTACTGTGGAATAATCCAGTCAGGCATGCTCCCCAAACCCCGTTTTTGCATGTGCTATTGGGAAGCAAGTGATGCTATTTAGCCCAGCCCAGGTCTCCAACATGGAGAGGTGCTGCCTTCTAGTTTCCCCTTTTAAACCACTCCATCTCAGCTTTCCTGCCCACTGTCAGTGCAGTGGCTAAGTGTGTGGACTCCCAGAAGTCATTCATTCCCTGTCAAGCATGCCCTCAGTCATTCCCACTCCATTGTGTCCCCAGACCCTCTTACCCAGAAAGCTATACCCCCACCAACCAGGTGCAGAAGTCCATGCCCTGGCCTAACATTCCCTGCCTTCCCCACAGCCCCACAAATGTGTTTTTTGTTTGTTTTTTTTTTTTAAGATAACTATTCTGACACAGTGGTACAGTTAACACAGAATTGGCAGTAACCAAGTACGAAATGCCCACCAGCTATTGGCTGTTTTTTTCCCAGCATTGTATTACTTGCCTGGATACGGGGAAATCTAGGCAGTTCCCTGCAGCTGGGGGCTCTTTACTTCTGATTCAACCCCTTGCTAATTAGCTGGACAAAGCGGTACAAGGTGGCTTAAGTGCCACCAATGGACTTGTGCCTTCCATGTTGGCGATGTGGGTAGAGTTCCGGTTCCTGGCTGCAGCCTACCCAAGCCCCGGCTGTTTTGACCGTTTAGGGTATAGACTCTAACCACTGGATAGAGTTTCTTAGTATCTTAATCTGTGTTTCAAATGAATAATTAAATCTTTAACGAAAATGCTTGAGCCACTGTGTCATTGTGCTGTCTCTGAGGCAAAGATTTGATGTGTATTAAAATAATCTTTCAAAAGTAGACAGTTGGGAAATTACTAAGGCCTGACACAATGGCTCTGTGGCTAAATCCTCACCTTGCAAGCACTAGGATCCCAGATGGGCTCTGTTTCCCATCCAGCTCCCTGCTCCAAGTCCTTGGGATCCTGCACCTGTGTGCAAGTCTCAGAAGAAGCTGTTGGCTTCAGCTCAGTTCAGCTCAGCTCAGCTCAGCTCAGCTCAGCTCTAGCTGTTGATGCCATTTGGGGAGTGAATCAGTGGATGGAAGATTTGTCTCTTCTCCATAAATCTGATTTGCCTTTCCAATAAAAATAAATGTCTTAATTTTAAAAGGAAATTATTAGTTATGTAGCCATTTACTGTACCTAGAACCATTTTGCTACAATAGAAGGTTATTTGAATTGAAAAGCAAAATTAAAGTGATCATTTGCTAATTAAGTGCTTCTTCCCCTAGGCTGCAGTACTTTGCACGGGGTCTGCAGGTTTACATCAGACAGCTTCGTCTGGCTCTCCAGGGAAAAACAGGCGACGCCTTAAAAACAGAAGAGGTAAAAGTGGCACCCATGTCCTGTGTTGTCTGTTCCATGCCATGCTCTAGAGGTTTGTGTTGGAATTCTAGCTTTTCCTGGTCTCAACTAACTTAATCAGCCTTCGTCCCAGTATTGTGAAATACTTTAAATTTTCATTATATCCTCCTGAAACTGAACTTACGTAACTTATTTCTTTTAAACCTCTTTATGCATATAATCTATCCTTTATTCATTTTTCCAGTATATTGTAATACATTTACTAACCTGCCTAGGAAGGTAAAGATGATTTGCTTTCTTTGCTTTCCCTTGACTTGTATGGATACAAGAGATGGGAATAAGCAGTATCTGTAAATTCCAACCAAGGAATTCTCTTAACTAGAAGTAAATCTGAAAGAAAAATTTTGATAATCTAACTCTGTATCAATGGAATATGCACACAGAAATTATTGATGGTCTCATTTAGTCTTGTTTTTATTTTGCAGAACAAGATTAAAGTCGTGGCATTAAAAATAACCAACAATATTAATGTTTTAATCAAGGTAAACTTTTTTCTTTTTTTTCTGACCCCAGCTACCTAGAGAGGTTTCATTTCAGGTGGGGTGGGGTGACACCGTTTCATTATTTGGCCTTCTGAATGCTTACGTTTAATGATACCAGATGGCATTTCTACAGCTATCATAAAATCATACATTATTTTATGTATTTGAAAGTTTGCAGAAAATACTGCAAACAGAAGGCTTGCAGATTTCCTTGACCCAAAGCACCGAAGTAGATACAGACTGAAAAGTTCTAGTGCTCTTCACACTCGGAGTCCCTCCCAGTGGTCAGCGAAACACTGAGTTACTCTGAAACCAGACATGGCCAGGTGGAACAGGAACTCTTTTCCTTTGGTTTTTTTCTGTAAACCTGTTGGTGATCAGTTGAGTTTTCTGCACTTCAAGCCAGAGTGTACTTTACCACCAAGCTACGGTTGCTCTTTAGTTCTGGTACCCTTTCTGAGGACCTACTGGCCTAAGTGAACAACCAGTGACCTGAGAGAAGAAATTAAAGCACAAGGTAGTCGTCACTTTCCACTGCAGCTTAAGAGTATTGTGACAGGTGAGGAAAGAAATTGTAACAGTTGAAGGGCAAAGCCTGACAGAAACAGATTGGGACTAGAGTCCTTCGAGTGAATCTGTCAAAAGAAAGCCAGGAAATGAGCTGGAGAGGAGTTGTTCAGAGACAGCATGTTAGACACTGAGAAACGTGGATCAGTACAAAGTGAAAAAGACATTAAAACCAGAAGAGGAAGGAATACCAACCCACATCTCCTAACAAAATTTAGGCTAGTCACTCTTCATTATAAATGATAGAGATAATGCTGGTACACTGTAAATCCATATGCTAAAATCTAAGAATTGACTTTATTTGATAATGTAAGCTTAAATTGAAGCTATGATGTTAAGAATATTTGGGGGCAGGCACCATGGCGTAATGCATTAAGCCTCAGCCTGCAGTGCCACCAACCCATATAGCCGTCAGTTCGAGTCCCAACTGCTTCACTTCTGACTCAGCTCCCACTACTGTGCCTGGAAAAGCAGCAGAAGATGGCCCATGTCCTTGGGTCTCTTCACCCATATGAGAGATCCAGAAATGCTTCAGGCTCCAGGCTTTAGAATGGCCCAGCTCTCTCTAAATCTCCCTTTCAAAAATAAATAAATCCTTAAAAAAAATACTTTAAATGCAGCACTATTATGACCTAATACAGATAAATAAAAAAGTGTCCTATTCAATAAACTAAGTGATCTAAGGATGGCTATAGCAGGAAGGTATAAAGATGAGAAAGGTAAGAGAGGCCACTAACCCATGTGCACAGTACCTTACCAGAAGCCCTGAAGTCTCTTTCTAAGTATTTATTCATTTTTTTTGGAAGGTCAGATTTATACAGAGATGAGACACAGAGAAAGATCTTCCATCCACTGGTTAAGTCCCCAGGCGGCCGCAATGGCTGGAGCTGAGCCAATCCGAAGCCGGGAACCAGAAGCTTCCTTTGGGTCTCCCATGTGGGTACAAGGTCCCAAGGCTTTCAGCCATCCTCAGTTGCTTTCCCAGGCTACAAGCAGGCAACTGGAAGGGAGATGGAGCAACCAGCGTACAAACCAGCACCCATATGGGATCCTGGCGCGTGCACGGCGAGGGCTTTAGTCACTAGGCTACCGCACTGGGTCCTGAAGTCGTTTTTAAATTGCATAAAATGTGTGAGGTCATAGTTTTTATGTTTTAGAGAAAGCACAGTTAAAACTGACAGGCTTTGGTCCATCTTTGGCAGTTTTGAGATTCTATGGTTTCTACTAACAGACTCATCTAATTCCAAAACCTCATTTCTGTTATAATAAATTTCCAAATGGTTTCAGCTTTCTAGTTCTCACCAAAGTTGTAAAATTATTTTAAGTTGAAGCCTTACCCTTTTCTCTTCATGTGGTCTTTTGTTAGTCAACTTTAATCTCAAATGCCAAGTCACTGTAGCTGAAAACCTCAGGCATTTTTTGTTCAAAGCATGTTATACTGACCACTCAATGAATTCAGGCAGCATTCTGGACTTTATGTAGTAGGAGGTGATTCTCATTACTATACTGGGAAAAGCCTTAATAGGCTTTTATCTAAATATAAAAAATTAGGATAAAGCGAGTAGGTAGTGCTTGGTTGAAATACTAAAAATAAATATATTTAGTAAACTGTTCAGTGTTTTAAAGTTATTATGAGGTTAGATTATTTCACTTAAATTGACATTTAAATTTAGCAAAACTTTGCATTTCTACCATATTGATAACTGGTATTTTTTTCCCTTTTTGATAGGTTTTAGATATTAAGGAAAGGGCAATAATTACCCAAGCCTTCAGCCTTGTTCTGATTGTTTGAATCACTTAAAACTGTACAAAAACAAATGCAGATTACACCATTGTGTTTTCCTTAAAGCAGTCTAGTGGTATTGTCTCTGCCAAAGAAAATGCTTGCTCATAAATAGTGATATTTTATCCTGATACTTGAAATGTTGTTTATTAAAAATGCTGCAGTATAACAGTTTTTCATAAAATTATCTCAATTAGGTTATGGATGGGGTTTCTAAAAATATTGCCTGTTTTTCTGTTGCGGTTTCATATGGATTCTTACTTTAATTATCAACACATCTAAAGCACTTAAAGCTTCCACTCTTAACGTTTGGTTAATTTGTGTCCCTGTTTAATTCCCTGTCATAACCAGATACATTACTTACCTCGTCTGATTTTGTGTCTCCAGGATCTCTTCCATATTCCTCCTTCCTATAAGAGCACAGTGACGTTATCCTGGAAACCGGTACAGAAGGTTGAGCTTGGGTAAGGATACTAAGAGGAGTTATATGCACTGCACAGAGGGGCACTTGTTAGGTGACACTTAATGTGTTGACAGTATTCAAAGCATGACTTAAACTGTAGTGTCTAATTTCAGTCTTTGTAAAATAAGCTAGAAGAACACAGCCCTGGAACTTTCTGGGTTTTTTGTATGTTATATCCTCACTAGACTTATGTGACAGGTTTTAAAAAACCAATGAGCTGCATGTAAGCCTGTGAAACTATTTCAGGCTGTTGAACTCTTGTGAATTCTTCATGGCAGTGTCTATGCAAACATTAGTTCATGCTTATTTGAATATTTAGCACTGTTTTTCTCGTGTGGCTGTTCTTTTTAGGATGTCTTTCATAGCTCTTGTGCTGTGTTGCAAATGTCTTGGTATCTTCTAGGATAACTTTTTTCCTTTTTAAAATTCTCTCATAGGCAGAAGAGAGCCACTGAAGATAGAACTTCAGGTTCCCCACCCAAGAAGTCTGCAGCAGGACCAAAAAGGGATGCCAGACAGATCTATAATCCTCCCAGTGGGAAATACAGCAGCAATTTGAGCAATTTTAATTATGGTGAGCGTTTCCGTTTGGGTAGAAGCAATACGAGAGATTAGGCAGAATTGTATTGACCTGATTTTAATATTGTTTTATATATATATATATATATATAATATAGCTCTGTCAAGATGGCTTTTTCAAGTTGACTTAGGGAACTAAAGCTTTTGGGGAAACAATATTCATTCCTTGTGAACTCATCCTTGTGGACCCACTGAATCAGGCATTTGGCACTAAGCACTTAGAAGAATTCAGCTTGTTTTTGAGAAACTAAGAGAAACAAATGATGTTGGTGTGGAGCATCCTTTCCTTTTTTTCTCAGTTCTATCTCAGTTGTGCTTTTTTTCTCAGTTCTATCTTTGTGCATTCTCCCTCGGGGATGCATATAGCTTCTGGCAGATTAATGTTAATGATCTTTCTTGGACCTTGTCAGCCTGCGACTTCATCTCCCAGCTTCTGCAGCTAGTTCAGAAGAAGTTAGAGGAGGGAATTCAAACGATCAAGCGCTCTTTGGCGAGGAGGTGTGTTATATACTGCAGTGTCTCCTCCTGCCCATGTGCAGTCCTGCTATCATTACTTCCCACACATTTTTTTAAGGTTTATTTATTTTAATTTGTGAGAGAGAGTGAGCGAGCTTTCATCCATTCTGATTGGATTCACTCCCCAAATGACTGCATTGCCTGTTGCTGAGCTGAGCTGAACCAGGAGTCAAGAGTTTCCTTGGGATCTCCCACATGGAGCAAGGGCCCAAGAACTTGAACCAGCCTCCACTGCTTTCCCAGGCCACATGCTCCATCAGAAGTGGAGCAGCCGGGACTCAAACTGGCAGCCATATGGTGTGCCAATGCCACAGACATAGGATTAGCCTGTCTTCCTACTTACTTAAGCCAGGACAGCTTTCCAGTTTCCAGTCTTTCCTCCCGTAGAGCCGTTTGAATCTGAAAGAAAGTTTGGAACAGTCATATGATGCAGCTTTAATAGACTGGTTAAGAGGCCTGCATGTCATATCAGTGCCTGAGTTCCAGTTTCAACTCCATTTACAAACCCAACTTCTTTAGACAGTAGATAATGGCTTGACTGAGTGGGTCCCTGGCCCCCATATGGGAGATCTGGATTGAGTCCCCCGCCCTTGGCTGCCCACTGCAGGCATTTAAGGAATGAACTATTAGATGGGAGCTCTGTCTTGTCTGCCATTCGAATTCATTTAAAATAATAAATTCTAAGGCATTTACTAAATATATTGATGAAAAAATGTACTTGGGCTTTTGGTGTAGCCATTAGAACACTTCTGGGGATGCCCGTATCCCTGCATCAACCTGACTCGGGATCCCATCATCCTGCTGAAGCACAGCAGTGAGTGGCTTCCTGAGTTCACAGCTCCGGGTCTCAGCCCCAGCCCTTGCAGGCAGTTGGAGAATAGACAAAGAGAACTCTGACCGTCCACCTCTCAAATAAAAGTGACACCTATTCAATTCCTTTTATTGCCTAGGCAGACACAATGTATTAATACTGTTGAGCAATGAAATATGCCTGTGATTGGGCTAATAAGCAATCAGTTAATTCCCTAGTACATCTTTCAAGGTGAAATAATTGTGACATTAAGTGAATTCCTTATAGAGTGACTGTATTCCTTTGAGCAAACAGACTAGAGAGAGCTAACTTCAGGTTAAGAAATTAACCTCTCCACTCCAGTCATTCGTTTTAAGAGTTCAGGAAGTATCACTGAACTTTCACTTGTGTAACAGTGTGGAAATATTCATCTCTGCATGCTTTTAATCTGAAAAATGAGGATAACGGCTCACACAAGCTTCAAGTAAGAATATTTGTGGGAGTATTTTGTAACTAGAAAGTATCATGTGCTACTTGATAGCACAAAATATTGTCCTCATGGTTAATTGTGGTATGTAACAGTGCCAGTCTTTAAAAAGCGGTTATCTCGGAGGCTGGGAGAATGTGGCTTGAATGAAAGTAAGGAAAGAGTTATGGCTGTACAGAAGAGAACCATATTACTTTTCAGTTACTCTTCGTTTCTTTGAGAAATTTGTTCTTCAAAACTCACTGCCTCCTTCCTACTAGTGAGAATCTGGTGAAACTGCATATGGAAGAGAGATGTGAAAAATGCCATGCCTCACATTATACCATACCATACTTAAGGGGGAAAATGAGCAGTGTACTGCAGATAATATTTGAGGACTCATGGTTCAGCTCTTTGTGTAATCGGGCGCAATAGCCTGCAAAGCGAACTGAACTCTGATTCTGCTTGTTGGGACGTAGGAACATGCAGCTGCTCATAGTTCGCACTGGGGCTTTAGCATGTTACATATGTAAGCTCTTGGTGGTGCTTCGGGATTTGTTGTTGTCTTTTTTATAACTGTTTCACCCATTCAGTCAAAAAGCAGTTCTCAGTACCATCTGCGTTGCTTTACTAACCTTGCTTTACTAACCGCTGTTTCTGCTTCTTGCTTTGCAAACATGGTAATGATTCCAACAAAATTAGCTCTATATTTTATAACTTATGTTCTTTATTTTTAATCCTAGAATAATATGAATAATTACTAAGGTATTATTAAAGTGGTCTTTCTAATGACTTAATAAGCAATAATGGGAAAAGTGGGCAGGGGGATTGCAAAGTTTTTCAAGCCACTGAGAGTGTGGATCCAAGCCAGCGAATGAAAGCTCTTTATTGCTGCTAGCAAGAGGTTTGAAACTTCAGTGAAGATGTGTGCTCTTATTGACATGTGATGGACAGTCCAGCCTTGCTGATAACTTCAGTCATCAATGGAAAGACTCCCTTGAAGGATCATTTCTCGGGGCTATGAAAGTGACTGACCAATGGATCAAAGACTTGTCCTGTGTAATACAAGTGATGTGATTTCTCACATTTTTGTGTGTGTGTATGTGTGCGCACGCGAGCCTGCCAGGATGTTCCAGATACTCCAGCAGGGAAATAACTGTCAGCATTTAATTCTTCATTTATGTTAAGTCCAGGTACTTGAATACAAAGAAATTTTGTGTTTGTTCCATTCAGAAGGTATATTTTTAAAGGCTAATGGTTCTTTGTTAATTTCATAGTGATTTATGCATAACACTATAGCTAATTTAGTATCATAGATATTCAAGAACTTAAAAAGTGTTAATTCCTGTATATTGTCGCCTTGCAGCTTTGTTATAGGATACATTAACTTGAGCACCCCCTATGAATGTTTTTGGTATATCGCCATGTGTACTTCGACATATATGTTGCCCTGATTTTATTCCAGAATGAGTTTGTGGGCAAGCTAGCACAGTACCAGTTCTGCTTTGATTGAGCCTGCTGCTACATTCAGTGCTGTAAGCAGCATTTCTTCTGTGTTTGCTGAATCACAAAGGTCCTGAGCAAGACCTAAACCCTTGTTCGCTTTCTCGTAGAGCAGAGAGGAGCCTTCAGGGGAAGTAGAGGTGGCCGAGGTTGGGGAGCACGAGGAAATCGTAGTCGGGGAAGACTCTACTGAGAAAGACATCACATTCTTCAGCATTGTCATGAGCATAATATACTAAATTCTACTGTTCTATGGATTGCCGGGGATGTCCCTTTAAAGGACTGCTGCCTTCAGCTAAAAACTTACTGTTCTTTATACCTTTGTATGTATGATCTACTTTTGTAATAGACCATGGTTGTGTCCAAGGTAAAACCACAGCGATATTTTTGGATGCTTTGTCTGCAATCTTGGATTGTTTTTGCAATACATTATTCAAACTTCACTATTGTGAATCTTTTAAATGTCTCGATAATTTGTTATTAAAAGCTGTTCAAGACTAAAATGTAAAGAGATTCAGTCTAGTTCTGCTGTCTTGTAAAGATCTTCAGTTTTGATGATTTTCCTCTCCCCTCTTGGTTTTTTGCTCAACATATGGAGAAAAGTAACTGTCAATCTTAACATTTTATTTTCATTATTTTTTAAGAAGCTGCAATCCAGTGGTGCAGCATTCAAGATACTTACCAGCTTTCTTAAAATGTGGAACTGACTTTACATTTTTAGGAGGAAGTAAGTTGCTTTGCACTGCTTACCTAACTTTTCTCCATATATTGTGATACAAACTTTTGAATATGGGATCTTACTCTTTGAATGTGTATGTATAATATACATACGTAGGTATATATGTGTGAGTATGTGTGTGTGTATATATATATGCATATATATATATATGCATGCTGTGAAACTTGACTATACAACCTAAATCATTTTTTAAAATTCCAGGAATGGGTTGTCTTTGACACAATGATTATCCTTTTGAGGTTGAATTCATTAATGACTTATCACCTAGGATTTTATTCCCAATAGTGAGTCAGTTGCACTTACATGATTATTGTTATTTAAAAGTGAAAATAAACAAAGGCTGCATTTCCAAAGACAAATTTGAAGATCATTCTTGGTGGAAATATAGCCAAAAGGTCGACTCTGGTGTACATAGGAGTATCTACAGGCTAAGAAAGATAGTAGTATAACTTAGGATTTGGAGATTTAATAACCAGGGCTACCCAGGAAAAGCAAGTTGATAACATAGTACCAGTAAGTAAGGGATGTTCTCTCAGTTTGCTTTTGCCACTTTCAAGATTTTAACTTCTCAGGTTATTAATCAAAATTATTGTATAAGTTAGCCAATAGATCCTTAGGTTAAAACAACAGATGGGAGGTTTGTGGAGTGTTTAATGTCATGGGCATTTTTGATAGCATAGATCCTTTGCTCTGCATTTGGATGTTTCATATGTATTTGTTCCAGTTACTCTTCCCAAGTTTGCTATTCAGGTCACATGCCTGAATGACATTTCTAGGAGTTGGATGTATTTTTTGAGAAATAGTTTGTGATTCCATTACAGGTGTCTCCACTACTGTTATTCTACATGGGGGAAAAAGCAAAGCCTCTTTACTGTACATATTTATGGGGAAAATACTTCTCAAAAACTAGAGTGATACTAGAGTGAGCAGAAGAAGCTGGTCAGCCTGGCTGTGGAGTGGTGGCAATAATCTCAACATTCCAGATGACTCTGAGCTGACCCTGAGCTCTCTAGGAATCTGAACAGACATAGGAACAAAGAATTGTCATTTGAAGCTGTGACCAGCTTGCCTGGACCTGAGAAATAGGGCAGCAAGTGGCCTAAAGCCATCAAGTAGAGAAACCATTGGGACTACCATCATATACATTTGAACATGTGATTTTTCCTCTTTTTAAAGTATATTTGTAAGCTCGAAGCTGAGCAGAAGTGATTTTACTTTTTGCAGTTGGATACTGAGTTGCCTGTTTTTTCCCTTCCCACTTTGTTGTAAAACTAGGGTTATTTTTGCTCCCGAAATTGGAATGAAAATTTCATGCCATGGGTTTATTTTTGCAAGACACCTGTTTGTCACTTTGTTCAAATGTAAATGTTCCTTTATGCTTTCGAAATAAACTTCCTTTTGTAATTTTGGTTTGTGTCTTGATGTGGTCTAACTTTGGTAACTCCAGATTCTTAAATATTATCATTTATTGTTTCTCATATGCTAAGCATTGTGTTAGACCACGAAAATGTCTAGATAGCCAAGACACTGCTCTGCCTTCAAGAAATTCAGTCTTGATAGAATCTTGCAAGTTACTTTTTATCCTTTATAAAAACTCCGTGAACTTTTTCCACCAAAATAAATTTACCTTTGAATTTCATTTTCCATGAGATCTTTGAAGTATTTTCCTTTATATTAACTCTGTTTTAGATATATTAATTTATAAGTGAATGCAATCCTTTTTTTTAAATTTTGATATTTATTTGTTTTTATTTGTCACTCCAGTGTTGGATGCTGGTGTCTCAGGTAGCAACTTAACCTGCTGCACCACAATGCCACCTCCAAGGATTTGGTCCTTTTTAGCAAAACACTAAACCATGTTTCTGCGTTTTGTTCACAGATAATCCCAAGCATCTAAAAATAGTGCTTAATGCATATTAATCTTTCAATATATAAATTAAAGGCACTGTTTTAAGTCTTAGGGATATAATGCCGAACATGGCAGGAAGATTCTCATGGCATCCACATGCTATTACAGAAAGCCTGGTGAGCTTAGGCCAGTGTCAGTGGTGAATGTTGTGAAAACACAAGCATTCATTTGTGTCAGCTAACTTATAAAACACAATTAAGATAGCTTAGTGACGTGATATCTCAGGAATAATTTGAGAGCAAGACAAAGGATGGCCCAAAACCTTGACCTTGAACCATTGTGGGAGACCTAGAAGAAGCTCCAGTTTCCTGTCTTTAGCTCCAGCCATTGCAGCCATTTAGGGAGTGAATGGATGGATGGAAGATCTTTCTAAATCTGCCTTTCCAATAAAGATAAATCTTTGTAAAAATCCAGTAAAAATTGATGCATCTATTAAATAACAGTATGAAGTAACAGTAGACTATAAGTAACAGTAGAATCTGACTTACAGTTCCAATTTGTATTCCTCAAGAAATACATAAATAGAAATGGATTGGGGACAGATTAAGGATATGGGAATAGTGTGTCTATGAGATAGTACTATGTAACATCCTGTAAGTGATAGATAAAACTTTTTAGAAACTACAAACCTATGAAATAGAATAAACTTGTGTTTAATCATAAAATCAGAGTATTGAAACTTTAACTATTTTATAAAAACTCTTCCATTGTCATTGTCCTTCCCACATGTATTAACAGCTGCAAGCATTTGGATATACTGAGACTACTACATCAAAATGTGATACATTGTCCTGGGGATGACTACCACACCATTCTTAGAAGACCCCTGGTATCGCTATGGATGAGCATGCAAGACTGATTAGATCCATGGTCTGTCTCATCTGTAGTAACCCTGTGCTTCAGATGCATCTGGTTGACTAACCATTTCTAAATGAAATTACTGTATATGGGCAGCCTCTGCATCCCCTTGAAAATCCTTTCCATTTTTCACACACATTAACTTCATAGAGGTGCAGCTCTTCCTGACATGCTCAGCCTCCCTCCAATGCACTGTCTTACCTCCCACCAATTCATAGTTGTTCTTGAGGACTTTATGTAGTAAGGCTGCTAGTAATCCCTGTTTGGTAATACTGTTTATACCATGTATCCTGTCACAATGAGTCTCTTTCCATCTTGAGTCTGGATTAGCCATGTTGAGTGAACTTAAAAAAAATTATGAAAAGTAGAATCAAAAGATCAATTATCAAAAGCAGAATCAAAAGTAGTACAAAAGAAAATATAATTGGTGCAATGCTTTTTCATATTACACATTTTATGAACTTTTGGATGATCTTGAGCTTTGACCAATAGAATGGAGAAGGGATGCTTAGCTCTGTCCTCTCAAGGACCTTGGCAACCTTCACTTCCATTCACTCAGCACCTTGATTAATCTGGTAAGAAGAGTGTGTAAGCACCGTGCTTGAGGAAGAATCCTAACCATTTATATCACTCCCAGAAGTGTGACTGGGACTTCACTAGCTGAACAGGTGACCCGAGCCAACAATAAGAGAGCAGAAAAACCACTCCACTGTTCAACCAGCAAACAAATCGTGTTCTAAGTCTTCAAATATAAGCCACTGGGTTTGGTGCAATGACTCAGTTGGTTAATCCTGCACCTTCAAGCATTGACATCCCATATGAGTAGCAGTTCATGTGCTCTACTTCCCATCCAGCTCCCTGCTTTTGGCTAGGAATCCATCAGAGGACCGCCCAAAGCCTTGGGACCCTGCATTTGCATGGGAGACCTAGAAGCTCCTGGCTCCTGGCTTCAGATTGCCTCAGCTCCAGCATTTGCAACCATTTGGGGCTGAACCAATGGAAGGAGGATCTTTCTGTCTCTCTATGGATTTGGGGTCCTCCTTAGCCTGTGGTGCAATAGGAGGCATAAAGGTGAGATTCCAGTTGCTCTGGGCAGCTTTCCTGAGTCATGGTGGGACCGTCACCATGATCTTAGTAGTCCATCGCTGCTGCCTGTCTGAGTAACAAGTCTGCTTTGCCTGTGGCAGTGTTCTGCCTCACTGGTCTGGGTCCTGGAACCTTTGCAAGAGTTACTCAAAAATTAGCCATTCAAGATATACAGTAGCACAAGGCAACCTGGTGTTTTATCAGTACTACAGAATTCAGAGGAAGCAAATGGAAGCTGACCTTCTATGGGCTGAAATCTGAGATACAATAAAGAACAGATGTGATAAGGAAGCCCAAGGAAAAGATTTCTGGCAGGAAGTAGAATGAGCAAAGGTTTCTAAGCATCAGTATGTGACACTCAAAACTGCTTAATAAACAGAGATATGCTTCTGGGCAATCAGGATTTATGATAGAATTCTAAAATAGTCCCCAAAGATTCCCATCATTAAATTCCTTATATAGGGCCCAGCACAATAATGTAGTGGTTAAAGTCCTCACCTTGAATGCGCCAGGATCCTATATGGGCGCTGGTTCTAATCCCGACCGACCTGCTTCCCATCCGGCTCCCTGCTCGTAGCCTCGGAAAGTAGTTGAGGACGGCCCAAAGCCTTGGGACCCTGCAACTCGTGTGGGAGACACAGAAGCTCCTGGTTCCTGGCTTTGGATTGGCTCAGCTCCAGCCATTGCGGTCACTTTAGTGAACCATCGGACGGAAGATTTTCCTCTCTGTCTCTCCTCTGACTTTGCAATAAAAATAAATAAATCTTTAAAAAAATTCCTTATATAGAAAAGATTACATTCTGTATTTTAAACATAATTTTTTTAAAAGATTTATTTTTTATTATTTTGTTTATTGGAAAGGCGGATATACAGAGTGGAGAGACAGAGAGGAAGATCTTCCATCCGATGATTCACTCCCCAAGTGAGCACAACGACTGGTGCTATGCCGGTCCGAAGCCAGGAGCCTCTTGCGGGTCTCCCGCGCGGGTGCAGGGTCCCAAAGCTTTGGGTTGTCCTCGACTGCTTTCCCGGGCCACAGGCAGGGAGCTGAAAGGGAAGCCGGGCTGCCGGGATAGAACCGGCACCCATATGGGATCCCGGGCGTGCAAGGCGAGGACCCTTAACCACTTGCGCCACCGCGCCGGGCCCTAAACAATTTTTATGTCAGTTAATGATATGCTGGGGCAAACATATGAATATATCATTCCTGTGATTATGTTGTATGGCCAAAGGAATTTACGATGTTCTTAAGGCTACTAATCAATTCACATGGAATTAATCAAAATAGAGATCATCCAAGTCCTGGCGCAGTAGCCTAGCAGCTAGCTTGCGTTGAATGGGCTGGGATCCCATATGGGCGCCAGTTCTAATCCCAGTGGCCCCTGGGACCCTGCATCCATGTGGGAGACCTGGAAGAAGCTCCA